TTATATGTAGCAAGCAGAGCTCTGCACGTCCCCCCTGCAAGGGATTCATGGTTGTGCCTGTTGTTCACAGGAGGCATGATGCAAAAACACAGTGATATAAACCCACTGTTAAAACAAAAATAAAAAATAAAAAGAATATTTATGATCTGTCAATGTCGCTTTTGTGTGCACAACATTTTAAATTTATATTGCCATCTGTTTTAACAGTGCATAATGAAAAGTCTATATATCAGCCTACAAGAGCAGTAGAAGCTAAGGTGGAATTGGATACAATATGTTTAATTACAACATCTAATGAATAGTAACGTCTACCACTTATTGTGTTTGTAAGAGAGCTTCTACATTCTTTGGTTGTTTTTAACTGATGGACCCTGTATGAAATTCATTTGAAACCAGAAGTGATGTGTAGATATTTAATCAGAGTGCAGGTAGGGTAACTTAACTACATGAAAATGATCAAATGTCTTGGTTACACTATATAAGCTAAAAGTGATGGAAGTTCTGAAGTGCTGAAACTATGCTGTTTCTCTGTTGCTTTTTGTAGGTTCAGTGCTTCAATGATTTATAGAGGATTGGAGGTATGTACTGTATTGATGTAGAGTAGATTTAGTTAGCACATGAGAACCAGTAGTCTGAACATGTTGAATCCTGTATAGCAGTGGTTCTCAAACTGTGGTACGCGTACCGGCAGTGGTACGTGGAGTGCCGCCAAGTGGTACGCCAAATGACCCTGGAACTGTGTCGTGTGCGCTGAAAAATCGGGACGGGTTTTCATATTTTGTATTTTAATACGTGTCGAATACGCAGCCTACGTACTACGATACAGTGCGGGCTAATAGTTCAGTGGACACAAGAGATACTCTGTAATTCTATACCACTCTATAGGAATGCATGCTACGGATGCAAATGACCAATTGTATTTAAAAAAAGCTACTGTATCTCCAGCAAATAGGGAGAAAGGAGAATGTGCGTGATTTTGGAACAATGCCAACTTTGTAAACACAGGAATGCATAGAATTATGTGCTACAAACGCAGGTAATCTTGTGAGCACACGAAAGCGTGATAACAGAAAAATATTTAAGAACTGTTCTAATTTGAGAAAAATACACCGAGCGTCTCTGTGTTTCGCTCCCATGCGCTTGAAATAAAAACTTTAAATAAATACGGAAATAAAAACGGAAATGCGGAAAAATGCAAGCTTGCGGATTGCTAAAGCAGGTAAGCTACACTATTTTTGAAGAACCTTATTTACCGTTGGCAAAAGAGCTGACACGTATTATGTGTAGAGAAAAAGCTGCTAAAGAGCTCGACCTGCTGCCCCCCTCCCCCTGAAAGACACAGTCATTCATAGAATTATTGAAATGAAGGATTATATCAAAAGTACACTGATAGAGCGCGTTAAGATGAGCAGATGTTTTTCACTGCAATTAGATGAGCCTGTAGTCGATTTGGCCAATTTGCTTGTTTACGTTAGATACGAGTTTGAGGGCATGTCCCATGAAGACTTTCTGTTCTGTAAACCGCTACCAACAGGAACTACAGGAGAGCACATATTTCAGCTTCTGAATGAATTTATTGTAGAGAATGGCCTCGACTGGATAAAATGCGTCGGAGTTTGTACAGACGGTGCTAGAGCAATGACAAGCCGACATAACGGTGTAGTTGCACGAATTAGAGAGGTTGCTCCAGAAATTAATGTACGCATTACAACATCCACCGCGAGACCCTTGCCGTCAAGAAAATGCCTGACGATTTAATATCTGTTAGACTCTGTTGTGAATTGTATCAAGGCTCGAAAAATTAATTCACATCTGGTTTGCTCAACTAAACAGGCTCACCCCTCTCACTGAAATGGTGCTTTTTTATTAGTTGTTGTTAATGTTTTTTTTTTCTGTAAAACACTTTGAGAAGCCACCTTTAAAGGCGCTATATCAAATTAAGTTTATTATTATAATATTTATTATATGTATGTGTGAGTGTGTGCACGGGCGCTCATGTTGGTCATTGAGAATTTCTGTGGTTCCTATGAGATGATGACTTGTAGGTGGTACTTGGATGCTTTGGTTGGATTAGTGGTGGTACTTGGTCCAAAAAGTTTGAGAACCACTGCTGTATAGTATTACAAAAGATTCCCAAACAGGTATTCCATCCATTTTCAAACGGCTTTGTCCAGTACAGGATCACAGGGAACACTGGAGACTAACATGGCAAGCAACAAGAAGTATTGTATTGATGTAGTCTAATATTGATGAAATAAAGACATTCATATTTCAGCACAGACAGGCAGAACCGGGGTCTTAACTGTGCAACATTACACACACGGAAAAAATATAACCCTTGGAACATTCCTAACATGCACTTTAGGCACAGGTTCAAACGTATGACTAAGCTTTCTAACTTCGTTTTTTTTTCTGATTTATCAAAAAAACCATCCGCAAAAATATCGCAAACCTAATATTGGGAGTATGATTTCACTCATGTCACATCTTGTCTTAAATTTTCCGCTGCCTTCTATTCTAATGTGAAACAGAGACCTGTAAAGTGAATCTGCTGCAGCTGCATCTGATCTGGTCTGCAAATAAATAATGAGATCCACCAGTATAGCAGGTAAACCTAATTTCATGACGGTGAATGATGAGACCAAGAGGCAGCATGTCAATACTACACAATAAAAGTAAGTGGGACAGCACCAGATTAAGACCAGACAAGATTTAGGGATTGACTCCTGCTTGTCAAATAGGAGCCAAACCAGCAAAAGGTCCCAGATAATTGGCCATGCAGCCGGATGCCACTGTAGATACATGTATACATGCTGCATTTAAATCCAGAAGAACAAGAATATTAAGTGACCAAGAGTCAGAAGCAATCAGCCAACTGCTTACTACTTTATCAAGGACTGTTTCTTACCAGTGTCTCTTAACCCTAATTAAAAAGGTCAAATAAACTCATAACATGCCTACAAGGTGTAAAATGCCTTCAGGTAGGGTGTGAATATGAGTCTGCTGAAAAGCATTATTTTTCTTATAGTATCACAATACAAAGACAGCCCTAATACCTTCCACTTGTTTTCCCTTTCGACATACACTGGGAGGAATTAAAAATGCACAACTGCAAAGAATTTAAACGAGAATCTGTGGCATTTTGTATGCTTCTCTGTATATTATAAAATAATTTTATATAAATACTGTATATATATATTATTTTAGGCTATTCTATATTATTAGAAATTCCCATAACATAAATTCAGTCATTTTGTTTTAAAGGAATATATATATATATAAAACTGGCTAATTGACATAAATAAGTAATTTTAAGTTTTTATCAAGGTAAATAAAGATTTAATTTTTTTTCTTTCAAGGAGCTTAACATGCCAGATATTTTTGGAACTGGGTTTTTAGTAAATGCAACTAGCACATGGAAATCCAAATTTGTCTTTTCCTTGAAAATGTAATTGGATAGTAAGGAGTTATTTTTCTATTTATCTTTAACTGTATATTTGAGCAACATTTGTAACCTAAACATAGTGTAAAAGACCTCATACTTCTATCCTTTACATTAAGAAGATACAATAATGAAGAGGAAGCAATAAAAGGTTCAACGGCCAGAGCATGTTTTAATCTTACTTTCTACTTTTCTGTGCGAAATGAACCACTACATGTTCCTTTTCAGCCTGCACTCTCTCACAACTTCCCACTCGAACCTGTATATAAAGTCCATGCAAGAATAAAATGAAAATGCCATATCACACATTAGAATATGCTAGAATCCCAAACCAAATGCAGAGTTAATATAAAATATAAAGTGGTTGTTTTTTTTAATTTGGTTGTTTTAATTTCATGTTCAGTCTCTATAAACCTTCCTGTTTAACTGAAGTAAAAGGCTCTTTTACATCATTCTTGCTCAGTACCCCACTGAAGCACTATAGTGTATGGTATGAATTGTCCCTACTTCTACAGTTTTTATAGTTCTAAGCACATCCTGTGAGGTGGTTTATAGATGCCAGAATTATTACTATACTAAAGGCTGGGATAGTGTCAAGGAGTGTGTAGGTGATATTTGAATAGAAAAATTATCGAAAAACTGAAGTTGCAAGGGAACTGGTACTTACTTCACATTTGTGACACGATGCATTTCAATAATGTAATATAAAAGTAAGTAGACTGAATAAGAACGTGGATTACTCACTTACAGGCTATCAAAGTGACAAATGCACAATTAAACTATTATACATAAGGTCACTGTTTACGAAGACAACAGGCTGCATGAGTATCAATACAGGACATTTTCAAAATGTGAATCACTTAAAATAGCTTTTCGTAACTTAAATCAATCTCAAATTCTGGCAAAGAAGAAATCTAAAAACAATGCAGCAATGAAGACTCCTATGTCTGAGTAAAAGGCATATGATGAATCGATAAAAGCATGAATATGTTGTTTGAACAGGTTTTTAAAGAATTTTAATCTCTGTTGCATTTCTGTACTGTCATGTATATATGAAAAGGGTTTAATGTAAGAAAGACATTTATTATTTACACTGAATGTATGTGAATTACCTCATGCATAGCATTTAATGGGAAATGCAATTATCAAAATAATAGAGGTATGCACACAATACACAGACTTGGATGTATTCGTTAAGGAACATTGTGAGTGTGGGCACTAGGAAGTTGACAATTATTTTAATCACTTCTGCATTTTTTTTTGTTTTGTTATTGAACTAAAAATTCAAATTATCTCACATCTTTTTAAAATAAAGCAATACATATTGCATTCATTTAAAATCTGTAAAAAGAAAGGAAATGATAGAAAATACAAGAGACAACCAAAGAGAACTATGATTAGTACCAGCAAGCATAAAATTCTTTCTCATACAACTCTTTAATTAGAGAAATAAAAGTGATCTAATCTTACAAACACTATAAACTATACGGCAAATAGTTTAATCTCAGTTTTTAGCTTGTACTCACTGCTATTAAATTCAGAACCACATGTTTCTCACCTCGTTATCTTTGTTTTTGTCTTTGTTCCGGCTGGAACTTCTCCCATTGCTGGCCGTCTCCCTGGCTGGGACCACAGAGATCTGCTGGAGTGGCATCTTACAGGGGCTGGTGCCTTATTGGGTCCTTATTCCTTCTCTCCTCCAAAGCAACCTATTTGCACAGTTGTTCACATCTTTGCATCCTCCACGTCGTTTCTATCACAAACAAAACAACAAAAAGACATCATATTGAGGCCAAATTTTGGAGAAAAGAACAGTCACATTAGAGTGTTTAGAAAATGTTTAGAATTCATTTGCAGAAACAAATGAACTCATCCAGAAAATCCTGCTGTTGACAAAGATAGCTTAATGCAAGTCATTGCTAGTGTGAGACTTGACATTAGGCTTCCCCAGTGCAGTGTGGAAGCCAATTTTATTTCTACAGTACCTAATAACTGTCATGGAAACCGAAGAAACCTTGCTCTTGCAGGCCTTTATTATTAGATGCTTCAGTTAATGGCACAGACTCCCACAGTTGGAGTGGTGAATGCCTGTGTCCAGGGACACTGAATTGTACCGACTTGGTAAATAAGCATAAGGCTCAAAAGGCTTAGTGTCTTATTTTAGATCCAAATCCCATCCTTCTTGAGTAGCATAGATAGGCTGCTGTGTTGCTCATGCATCTAATCTACTTAGTTCAAAAGATCTACTCCTAACTAAGGAGTACCCCTAAATGAAGGGGGTAAAAAAATGATGAAAATACAGGGAAGTTAACACAACTGCTTAACCAAAAGTGCCTGAATTGAACAAGAATGCTAAGTGCATTCCTGGAAGAGAAATTAACGAATACCTAATATGAAGAATTAATGCCTCACTTTTAATTATTTATTTGAGTTAACCATAAAACATAAATACACTTTTCTAATGCTCCATTTCCTATGATCACAGAGTGCTATTAGTGTCTGATACAACACAGAAGGTTTCTTTATTTTTTCTTCGATAATAAATGGTTTAATTTTTAGCATTCCATGAGTAGTAAATCCAAATCTACTGTGCATGGCCTGTCTCTTTCTCTCAGGCATACTCCCAGAACTCCGCCATCTAGCCATCTCCAACAGAATTAAACTCTGGTGTGCCAAAAGTAGGAGAATTCAACAAAGTTGGAGTCCAAGGAGCAAAAATCACCTTAGCTCACTTGTCCTGCTACACTATGGGTTCTACAAAAATGTATTATTTTTACTGAATAAATTGTATCTAATTTTCATTTAAAATAAAAGCTTGCCTGTCCATACAGTATGCTGTGTAATCCAATGAGGTAATATGTATTAGTACAAAGTATTGTGTTTAATACATATTAATAGCCTATTTGTAGCCAATTTCCAGTTAATTAGCTACTCTTGTTATATAACATGTTTCATGTCTGAATACACTCACATCAGATTTTCATGGGTTAACTTTTGCTTAGATAACCAGAAATCATGTACAAACATCATTAACATTTTCAACATTGCTAAACAGTTTATGCTAGGCTCATCTGAACCTTAATGGAATTCCAGTATTACTCTGGGACCTTGAATTGTTTTACATCTACAAATACATTTATTATTGCTATAATAACACAACAGAGATGATGTCACACATTTTACATTACACAATAATTTATAAAATACTTTTTGTGAAATCTTTTGTTAAATTAGCAACTAAATTCTAACTTACATGTTCAGTATTATTTCTTAAAACTTTATAGAAAAATGTAGGGATTTCAAACGTTTTACAGTATGTCTGCCTTATTAAGGTTAACTACTAAAGCAGATTACAGCATTAATTTTATTCTTTCATGATACTGTACTAACATGTCACAGGATTTTGCCAGATCCTAAAGCATGTACAGTATATTGCTGTAGAGCAATATGGGAATACAATAGAATGGAAATAACACAACAGGAGGACTTGTTTAAACAAAGCCATATTAACTTGGCTGTTAGGAATCAATCGAAAGAAAAATAACCATTCTAGACATGGATTCAAATTATACAATATACATCAATATACAATTTATTGATACAGACAATGTATATGTTAAAAGATGGTAACTGAACAAGGGTGAGTTTCCCGAAAACTATGAATCGTAGAGACTAACGAACAACGTTACGATGTACGTACGTAACCTACGAGCTACTTTTTCTTGGGTTTCCCAAAACCCCTCTTAATCGATCATTTAATGAGCGAGTATAAAGTACTTCTTTGTTAACCCCTCCCCAGAAGTCGCTTAGAAAAAAGCATCACAAGTCGATTGAAAAACAATTGATTGACAATACTTTCATTTTATGGTGTCGGTTTTGGTGCTTCAGTGGGATGAAATAAAGTTGTGAAAAGGAATATGAAGCAAACATGACATCATAATTTAACAACCATTTAAGCGAAAGCATATAGATAGGCACAATATGGGACCCTTATTGTTTCTAAGAGAAAAGAAAATAAATGACCGTAGAAGAAAATCAAGTTTAACTGGGTAGACAGTGTATGCGTCCTGCACGACGTCTTTGATTTAAAGCCATGTTTTTTGGTGCGCTGCCATTGTTAAGAATCACAGTGTTTCATGAGAAAAAAATGTTGTTATTTTTTAACATAAAACGGTATTCGAACTTTAAATATTTTATCGACCGCGGGTTTCGGTACGGAATGGAGCAGGCGTGGGACTCAGGGAATGGGGCTGAACAACACATTTATTAATTCGAATCGGGAAAGGTACACACACAGGGACAGGGGTTACAGCGCTGCACCTACACTAACATACACACACACGAAGGGAAGAGACTGTATCCCAGACTCCGTCCCACTATATAGTCCGGTAGTCCACAGGTGCTGTTCTCAGCCCGTCCTGCGTGGCACTACATTGTAATACGTTACATGTTTCACGTTCTTATGGAATTTAAATACAATTTAAACCCCACCCCAAAAGTACTAAAATAGGGAGTATTATTAAAACATTTGACTTATGAATAGGACATTTACCCAAGATGTCTAATAAATTCATTACTGTAGAAATAAATGTTATTTTTTCGAATTTCCTCTTAGTACGACAAAACATCAAAATCCTTAATATAAACTCTTAGTATTCTAGATTTCCAGAGAATTCCCATGACGTGAATTGAATGTGCTCTGTCTGGCGATCTCTGTCACTAAGGTTGCCGCAAGAGGTAGCCGGTTTAAGAAGCACTTAGTAATTAACGAGTGGGTCGGGGAGCACGTAGATTACGAAGGATTTAACGTTCTACTTTAGTTACGATAGGTTTTGGGAAACACTCGTAAATTAACGATCTATTTTAAGAGCGAGTTTACGATGTTCTTAGCGCTACGATGCTTTCGGGAAACTCACCCCAAATCTGCCTAGATACAAAATGGCTGATTGTTAATTGAGGGTTATCAGGGATTAAAAAGAGATTCAAAATATAAAGATTAGGCATTGATTATGTCGTTGTATGTAATTTCTAACTCTTTAATCAGTCTAATTTAAATTCTCAACATTAGGATGCTCACTGACAAGTAAGTACTTTTACTTATGTGAATGACATTGATATTAGAACGTGTTTAAGACAACAGTTGAATTATTGAGACTGATCATGGTGAATACTGATTTCTCCAACAACGGAGGATTCATAATTCTCAAGCAGAATGAAAGAAATAGAACTGATGGTGTTCGTCGAAGTCGTGTCCAATCCATATTCCTCTGTGCTGCCACCCATTCCTGGTGCAACATCTATGAACCACACAGAAAGTCCTGCTGTAGCCGTGCACTGACAGCCAGTTCCCTTGGAGGAGGACCTCCCAATTAGTGTTGAGCTGGACTAGCTTTTAAAGTTTGTGCCTGGATTGGAGTTAGAAACTGGTGAGGAGAAGTAGCAATTACTTCTGCTCATGTCATGTCGATGAGAGTTCAACCATATTTATTCTGGTGATAAAGCAGTCTCATGGCTGGCTAACTTGCTGCAGGCAGGACCTTAAGCAGAAGACTGTTTTACATACAGCTCTCTAGTCAATTAGTGAGTTGAACAAAAGTTTAAGTCCTGAGGCTCAGACAACAGTAGTGGCAGCCACGTCATTGTCAGATGACCAAGTTTCGACAGATCAGAGAGAAGCCAAGAAAGCAGCTGGGCAGCGCTTTCCAAATGGGAAAATCACAATTGGTGATTGGGTGTGATGTCATCATGTGGAGTCGGTTTCCATATCCTCCAGGCAACTGATTGATAAGTCATCTTTTGGATGATTGACCATGACCTGTCTATTCAGAATCATTGTCATGTGCTTATCTGTGTCTATAGACATCAAAGCCTCCATGGACGGACATCCATCATGGTTCTGGTTTGTGTCTCCGTCCTGGGATTGTACCACTTATCTGGAAGGCTCATCTCCCTCCATTACAACGTACTACAATCAATAGGGTTATTCTGTAGCCAAGCCCTCACTAAGAATCCACAGCAATGCTTTTTTAGTTATCCACAATATTTTTTTAGTTATCAACAACCATTGCTTGTTACAGATATGATACTAGGTGAAGGTGAAGCACCTTATATTTCCATTGTTTCATGGGTTTTACTTTTACTGTATAACGGTCATCACAGTGTAGTTAAAATGATAACAAATATACAAACAAACCTAGCTAGAAAAATCTGTTTATGTTTGCAAAGTCTTTGCTTCCAGTAGTTGATAAAAAAACAACATATAGACATTTAAAAGATATAGACATTTTCATATCTTTCAAAAAGCATAAAAATAAACACTGGCTCATTGTAATTTTGCTCCACTCACTCACAAATTGTCTGACAGATTACTTTTAAAATATTGCTTCATTAATAAATAGTGTTTCATCACGCTGTATTTTTCTAAATTGTGTGAAACTGCAATTACAGATAAGCATTCTATAATGATAAAATCCATTCTGTTGTAATGTGAAGGTAAGTGCAGAAGTTGTTTCTCCTGGAGGTATCTTAAGGTGTAATTCCAAGGCTAGAAGATTTGGCTCAATTTTGTTTTTGTAGATTTTTAAGATGGTCACTTGACACCATGTTTGACATGAAATTAAGATGAGATTGCCTCCAGGTAAGTATTACAAGATTTATAACGATCACGAACAAAATACAATAAGTAAGGGAATGTTCTTTCTCTGGCCAGCCGAAAGGCACTATTCTTATATAGAATATAGTACGATTATCTAA